CCCCTCCGAATGTCACCGCCAGGTCCCCTCCAGCCGTGCCACCCCCCTCTGTCCCTCCTGCCACCTCTGCTGTCACCTCCCAGAACACTTTGGGGTGCGGGGACCCGCCTCCAGCTGCCCACCTGCGTGCCAGGGACACCCCGGGGACAGGACTTTGTCACCGCCTGGGTGGCGGTGCCGGGCTGGGCACAGGAGGGGGACAAAGGCGTCCCTCGAGGGGACAAACGCGACCAGCGGGAAGAAATGGGAGCGGTTTTTCCTGGCAAAGGGACACGCGGGTGACACCCGAGCCAAGGGCTGGCGCTCCGCCAGGTGACCCGGGCAGGAGTCACCCGCGGGTGGCCGCTGTTGACAGCAAACACGGCGGGTGGCCGGGCAGGGCCAGCTCGGCTCGGGAGGGACCGGAGCCACCCGGTTGGGGACGAGGGGAGGTGACATCCCAAAGAGGTGGCTTCTGAACTGCCCGGCCCCGGCAGCGAAGGCACAAAGGTCACAACGGACGCCCTTGGTGACAGCGGGGGCTTGGGGACAAGGTGACAGGGGGATCGTCCAGCCCCGTGTGGCGCTGGCACGGTGCCAGGTGTCCCGATGTCGCCGTGGGATGTGGACACAGCGGGAAGGGCGCCCCGGCACCTCTGGGGTGTCACCACGGCGCCTCACAGGTGTCCCCAGGGTGGGGACACCTTCCCCAGTCCTTGTGGGTGCGGTCCCCAGGAGGGGACACCCCCGCAGCCCCACACTGTCACCCTGGCCCCCGAGAGACACACGTGGCCCCTATGCCACCCTGCCTGTCGCAGTGCCACCCAGCTGTCCCCTCCTGAGCCAGTGTCACCCGCCCATCCATCCCTGCCATCCCTGCCTGTCCCAGTGCCACCCACCCGTCCCTGTCACCCCTGCCTGCCCCAGTGTCACACACCTGTCCCTGTACCGGCTCCAGCGCCACCCACGCACTCCTGCCCGGTGTCACCCCCTCGTCCCTGCCACCACTGCTCGGGGACAGAGGGATGTCCCTCCCCTCCCCGGGGTCCCCCCTCGGTGTCCCCGTGTCCCCCACTCACTCAGCCGGGGGTTGCTGTGGAAGTCGCTGGTCACGGCCAGCCCGTGCTCGCGGGCGGCCGCCAGCTCTGTCGCCGCTGCTGTCACCTTGGTGGCGGCCATGGCCCTGTCCCTGTCCCTGTCCTTGTCCCCGTCACGGTCCCGGTCCCGCCGGGCAGGGCACGGCAGCGCCCCGGCTTTTGTAGCCCCGGCCCGGCCCCCGCCGGTCCCGCCCGCGACACCGGCAGCAAAGGTGACACCGCAGACACGGGTGACACCGGAGACACGGGTGACACCGGAGACACAGGTGACACCGGAGACACAGGTGGCACCGTGTTGGCTGTAAACAGCGGGAGGGAGCGGCCGGAGGCGGGATCGCGGGAGCCGGGATGGGGGCAGGGAACGGGAATGGGAACGGGATAGGGATGGGGAATGGGAACGGGAACGGGAAGGGGAACGGGAATAGGAATGGGAACGGGAATGGGAATGGGAGTAGGAGTGAGAGTGGGATGGGGAATGGGATAAGGGATAAGGCACAGAGATAGGGATAGGGATGTAGATAAGGGATAGGGATAGGGATAAGGATAGGGATAGGGATAGGGATAGGGATGTAGATAAGGGATAGGGATAGGGATAAGGATAGGGATAGGGATAGGGATAGGGATGTAGATAAGGGATAGGGATAGGGATAAGGATAGGGATAGGGATAGGGATAGGGATGTAGATAAGGGATAGGGATAGGGATAAGGATAGGGATAGGGATAGGGATAGGGATGTAGATAAGGGATAGGGATAAGGGAATGGGATAATGGATAGGGATAGGGACAGGGATGTAGATAAGGGATATGGATAAGGGATAGGGATAAGGGAATGGGATAGGAAAAGGGACAGGGATAAGGGAATGGGATGTAGATAAGGGATTGGGATAGGGATAGGGATAGGGATGTAGATAAGGGATGTGGATAAGGGGTAGGGATAAGGGATGTAGATAAGGGATGTGGATAAGGGGTAGGGATAAGGGAATGGGATAGGCACAGGGACAGGGATAAGGGAATGGGATAGGAAAAGGGACAGGGATAAGGGAATGGGATGTAGATAAGGGATGTGGATAAGGGGTAGGGATAAGGGAATGGGATAGGAAAAGGGACAGGGGTAAGGGATTGGGATATGGGATAGGGATTGGGATAGGGATAAGGGAATGGGATAGGAAAAGGGACAGGGATAAGGGAATGGGATGTAGATAAGGGATTGGGATAGGGATAGGGATAGGGATAGAGATGGGGATGTGGCTAAGGGATAGGGATAGGGACTGGAATAGGGATAGTCGATGGGGTAGGGATGCGGGTAAGGAATAAGAATAGGGAAAAGGGGTAGGTGTAGCGATAGCGGGATAGGGATAAGGGATAGGGAGAGGAATTGGGATATTCCTGCTCCTCAGCAGAGATAAGGGACATGAGATAGGGAATGAGATAAAGGATAAAGGCTAGGGAGAGGGAAAAGGAGAGGAATGGGGATAAGGAATAGAAATGGGAAAAGGGATAGGGATAAGGGGTTGGGATAGGGATAAGGGATAGTGATAGGGGATGGGGGTCGGGGTAGGGATAAAGGGTAAGGAAAAATGGGATAAAAAATTGGGAAATAGGAAAAATAGGGATAAGGGATTGGGATAAGGAATAAGCAGAGGGAACAAGGGGTGCACGGTTTGTCAGGGGCTCTGAGGACACAGCAGAGCGGGCAATGGTGGCCTTAGAAATGTCACCCTGCGATGTCACCCACGGGGCCAATGACACTCGGAGCGGGGGGCGGGGGCGCCCACAGGCGATGGAGGATGAGGAGGAGGCGGAAGGAGGCAGGACGTGACTTTTATTAACATTAGAAACCATAAACCCCCACATTTTTCCTTAAAATTTGACATCCAGTTGTTGGTTTTCCAGTCATCCCAGTCTGGAGGAGCCCTTGGCATCGAATGGGACAAACCGGGCGTGTCCCCAAGCTGTCCCCGACCCCCGCGACAGCTTCGCTTTGGAGAAAGGAGCTTTGGAAAATCTTTGGGATTTGGGACTTTTGGAGTTAAACGGGCGAAAGGAGCAGCGCTGGGATTCCCGAGGATCTTTCAGGATCACCGGAGCAGGCAGGAAAACCCCGAGGATATTCCCAACCCCACATTCCCAAATGCAACCCGGGCTTTGTGGAATTTCCCGGCTTGGAAAATCCCTAAATCCCCGTTGGAGTGGGGCTGGGAAAAGGGAAAAGCAAAATCCAAGCGAGGCCCGGCTTGGGGTTGGGGACAGAATTCCAGAGGCGGGGACACGGCCACTTCCCTGTCCTGGCTCCACCTGGATCGGGAAGAGGCGGGATCGACATCAATTATAGGGTTAGGGGATGAGCGGAGGAAAAATCCCAAATATCGCTGGAGCAATTCCAGGCGAATCGTGCCAGAATTGGAGGGAGGGAGGGACAGGCAGGATTGTCACTTGTCACCTGTCCCTGCCTCAGTTTCCCCGCCCGAGCCGTCCCCTTAAAACGCTTCAAAGGGAGAAATAACAATTCCCTAAAAACGGGGAAAATGAAAAAAAAAAAAAAAATGACGGAAAGTTTCTCATAAAATCTTTTATTTTAAATATTTCCCTGCAAAATCCTGGGAATTCGGGGGCCCGGGGATGTGGCCCCATGGAGAGCAGCAGCCCGGGGGTGGGGGAGAAGGGGATGCTCAGTGTTAATTATCATTATTAATTAATGAATTGATTAATTAATCAACAGCAGCGGGTTTGGGCGTGTGGGGGGAGCCCCCAGGGCAGGGCCTGGGTGTGGGGAGGGGGCTCGGGGTGTCCCCCTGGGCCTGGCACAGCCGTGTCCCTGCAGGGGGGGTGGCACTGCGGGGTGGTGACACCGCAGGGTGTCCCGGCGAGGTGGTGACACCGTGGGGTACCTCGTGGTGACACCCCAGGGTGTCCTGGCGAGGTGGTGACACTCCAGGACACCTGGACAAGGTGATGCCACCGCAGGGTGTCCCGGCGAGGTGACACTCACACCCCCCCAGCAGCTGCCCCTGTCCCCAAGGGCCACCTCCTGCAAAGTCCCCCTGGTCCCCAAGCCCACCCTCACCCGAGTGGAAGCCACTGTCACCCGCTGGGACCTGGGAGGGGACCCTGGCTGTGACAAGTGACAAGGGGGGTGTGGCGGGTGCCAGTGTCAGCGCGGGGTCACCGCGGTGCCACCCCAGGGTGGTCTGGGGGTGCTGCTGGACCTGCCCCGCCCCAGAGCGGCAGATGCCACTGTCACCGCTGTCCCCAGGTGTCACCCAGCGGGGTGGGACTGTGACCCACAGCCCCTCGGGGGGATCCCTGCGGGGTCGGCCAGGCTGGGGCGGCCCCAAAAAGGGACGGGGCGGCCCCAAAAAGGGACAGGGCTGTGCTCGGGCTCGGCAGGAGCCTGCGGGTGGCGGCAGCAGCTGGTTCCCAGCACGGCGACAACCGGGGACACCACCCAGGCCACCGCAGCCGCCCTCGGAGGACAAACACCCCCCGGGAGCAGCGCCGGGAACCTGCGGTCACCGCGGGGACCTCAGCCCGGCGCAGGCGGGGAAACTGAGGCACGGCGCTTCCCCGAGGACACCGCGGGGACAGAGCCCGGTGCCAGCTCGCGCTGTCCCTTTTGTCCCCCCGGAAGAGACACCCGGGCCAGCGCCACCCCCCGCTGCTCCTGTCCCCGCCCGCCGGTACCTGGAGCGGGGCTTTGGGGCAGCGCCGGTGACAGCGACACCCCGGAGTGTCACCAGCTCAACCCTGGTGACACCCGCGCCACCACCGGCCAGGGGGGAGCTGCCATTCCCGGGGGCGCACATTCCCAGCGGGAATTCCCAGGTGGAGGGGACGATCTGGGCTTGGGGTGGCGGGGGGGAGGTGACGCTTTTTGACACTGTTTTTTTTTTTTGGGGGGGGGGGGGTTTTTTTAGGGGGTTTGTTTTAAGGGCTCGGCTTCTTGCTGGGTATAGAATTGTCCTTCCTCTCCAGCCGCGTGTAAGGCTCGAACGCGGACGCTCCCGGCGGGTAAGAACCGGGCAGATCGTGCAGGCTGCCCAGCAGCGGGCCCCCGAAACACAGCGGCAGCCGCGGCGACGACGGCGAGGATGAGGAGGATGAAGAGGAAGCGGCGAGGGACGCGACGGGCAGGCCGAAGGGCGGCGGGGCCGGCGGGCTGCTGCCGCCGCCGAGCCCCGGGGAGGCGCGGCCCGGCGAGGCCAGGCTGGCCGCGGGGCTGGCGGCGGGGACGGCGCTGCACGGGGGGGACAGGAGGCTCGGGGGGGCCGGCACGGACAGCAGGCGGCCTTGCTCCAGCAGCCGCAGGATGTTGCAGGTGGCGAAGGACTCGGAGGTGCCGGAGGAGCGTTTCTCAGAGTCCCTGCTCTGGTCCTTCTTCTGCTTCGTGCGGCGGTTCTGGAACCACACCTTGACCTGGGGAGGGGGGTTTGGGGTGGGCGGGAGGGGGGACAGGAGGGCACGGACGGAAAGAGAGCGCGGGGGGGCCGGGGAGAGAGAGGCGAGAGCCAGGAGAGAGCGAGAGGTACGAGAGAGAGAGAGAGATGGATTAGAATAAACGGCCAAGCGAGATCCGCCCTCCCGGGATGCGGCCGCTCCCAGGGAAAGGGAGAATTCCTGCGGGGCCGGCGGGGAGAGGGGCCAGAGCCTGCGGGGAATGAGAGCACCGGGATGGGACTCGGGACTGGAGACCAGGGATGGCACCCCAGGAATGCGACTTGGGACAGGAACCCGGGGTTGGGACCCCAGGGATGGAACCCTAAGGATGGAACCCCAGGAATGGGATCCCAGGGATGGAACCCCAAGGATGGCACCCCAGGGATGGGACTTGGGACAGGAACACAGAGCTGGGATCCCAGGGATGGAACCTCAGGAATGGAATCGCAGGAATGGGAGTTGGGACAGGAACCCAGGGTTCGGATCCCAGGGATGGAACCCCAAGGATGGAACCTCAGGAATGGCACCCCAGGAATGGGATCCCAGGGATGTGGTCCCTGAGATGGGACCTCAGGAATGGAATCCCAATAATGGGATCCCAGGAATGGGACCCCAGGAATGGGACCCCAGGAATGACATCCCAGGGTTGGGAGCCTGGGGATGGGTCCCCGTGGATGGCACCCCAGGAATGGGACCCCAGGAATGGGACTAGGGACAGGAACCCAGGGATGGGAACCCAAGGATGGCACCTCAGGAATGGGATCCCAGGTTCCTGTCCCTGGAATGGGACCCTAGGAATGGGATCCCAGGGATGGGACTTGGGACAGGAGCCCAGGGATCGGACCTCAGGAAAGGGATCCCAGGGTTGGGAGCCTGGGGATGGGTCCCCACGGATGGGACCCCAGGGATGGGACCCCAAGGATCCCAGTCTCCTGTTCCTGGAATGAGACCCCTGGAACGGAGCTGGGGACAGGAGCCCAGGGTTGGGAACCCATGGATGGCACTCCAGGAATGGGATCGCAGGGATGGGACTTGGGACAAGAGTGCAGGAATAGGATTCCAGGGATGGGAGCCTGGGGATGGGTTCCCAGGGATGGGACCCCAGGAACGGGATGTGGGACAGAATCCCAGGGATGGGATTTCAGGCATGGAACCCCAGGGATGGGATTCCAGGGGTGGGACCCCAAGGACACCAGAGTCCTGTCCTTGGAATGGCACCCCAGGAATGGAGCTGGGGACAGGAACCCAGAGATGGGCCTGCAGGAATGGGACTCCAGGGATGGCACTTGGGACAGGAGCCCAGGGATGGGATCTCAGGGATGGGATTCCAGGGATGGGACCCCAAGGACCCCAGGCTGCTGTCCCTAGAACAGGACCCCAGGAACGGGATCCCAGGGATGGGACTCAGGACAGGAGGCCGGGGATGGGATCTCAGGGATGGGACCTCAGGAATGGGATCCCTGGGTTGGGACCCCAAGGATTCCAGCTTCCTGCCCCTGCAATGGGACCCCAGGAATGGGATCCCAGAGATGGGACTCGGGACAGGAGCCCAGGGACGGGATCTCAGGGATGGGACCCCATGGATGGGACCTTGGGGACGGGAGCCTGGGGAAGGAGCCCAGAGCTCGTGGCTGAGCTCCCCCACGCCGTGCTCGGCTCTCCCTGCGCTGCTTTTCCCGGGAATGCTGAGCTACGGGACCGGCTGGATTCTCCTCAACCCCAAATTCTGTCCCCTTCCCTGGCGGGGGGGGCAGGGTGACACGTGAGGGGACACGGTGGCTTCTGGTGGCCCTGGATTGCTGGGTACAGACCCAGCTGGGGACACCCGCACCCCTGGCCGAGGTCAGCGGGGAATCCAGGCTGAGCCCCGCGGGATCCCCGCACCCCAAACCCGCCCCTGCCCACCGCAGACCCCCCTAAACGCCCCCTCGGGAGCTCCCGCCCTCCTTCCCTCCCTCCCTGGCAGAGCAGAGGGGCAGGAGAGGCAGAGAGAGAGACAGAGAGAGGCGGGAGGGACGGACAGACGGACACGGGGGTGAGGGAAGGACACGGGTGGGAAGACACTCGGGTTAGAGCGGGAGGGACCCCGAGCCGCGGGGCTCCTCCCGGTGTCACCGGCGGCTCGCTGGGGACACGCCGGGCCCGCGGTGACACGGCACAAAGGAGCCCCAGTGGGGGCCGCGGGGGAGCTGCGGGAACCGGGGGACACCGGGGACACCGCGGGGACATCGCCTCCCGCCACCGCCGGGCACTGCCGGGCCGCGCCTCCCCTCGGGGACATCCGCGACACCCGCACGGGGACATCGAGGCACTCACTGCCACCGGGCACAGCCGGGGGCTCTGGGATGGTGTCACCGTGTCACTGAGCCCAGAGCGGTGTCACCGTGCCACTGACCCCAGAGTGGTGTCCCTGTCCCACTGAGCCCAGAGCGGTGTCACCGCGCCACTGAGCCCAGAGTGGTGTCCCTGTCCCACTGAGCCCAGAGCGGTGTCACCGTGCCACTGACCCCAGAGTGGTGTCCCTGTCCCACTGAGCCCAGAGCGGTGTCACCGCGCCACTGAGCCCAGAGTGGTGTCCCTGTCCCACTGAGCCCAGAGCGGTGTCCCTGTCCCACTGAGCCCAGAGCGGTGTCACCGTGCCACTGACCCCAGAGCGGTGTCACCGTGCCACTGACCCCACTGGTCACTCCCTGCTGACCACTGGGATGGCTTTGGGAACACAGCTGGGTCCCCAGAGAGGTGTCCCTGTCCCACTGACCCCGTTGGTCACTCTGTGCTGACCACTGGGATGGCTTTGGGAACACAGCTGGGTCCCCAGAGCAGTGTTCCCATCCCAGTGACCCCACTGGTCACCCCATGCTGACCACTGGGATGGTTTTGGGCACAGTCCCACGTCGCCAGGCATGTCCCCTGACACGGAATTGTCCCATCCCCTGGAGCAGCTGAATCCTGGGAATGGCAGATCCCAAACCTGCAGTGGTGGGGCCAAAGAGGACCCAGGCAGCCCCAATGCCCATCTAATTAGTGCCACCTTAACGAAGATCCGGTGTGAAACCGGACAGGATGGACATTCCCAGAACTCTCACTCCAAATATTCCCCATCCAGCAATTCAGGAGGAGCAGGAATTCGGGAAAAACCATCAGTGGGATTTAATCCCTGAGGATGGGCACGACAAGCCCATGGATCAGGTTTGGCACCACCGACCCCTGAGCCCCAAACCAGGGTCTGCTCCAAAATCCCACTGCCCCAGGTGGATCCAACCCCAATGTCCAACCTGGCCTTGGGCACTGCCAGGGATCCAGGGGCAGCCGCAGCTGCTCTGGGAATTCCAGCCCAGCCCCTGCCCACCCTCCCAGCCAGGAATTCCTTGCCAAGATCCCAGCCCAATCTGCCCTTTGCCAGTGGGAGCCATTCCCTGTGTGCTGTCCCTGCAGGCCTTGTCCCCAGTCCCTCTGCAGCTCTCCTGGAGCCCCTCCAGGGACTCTGAGCATTCCCTGGAATTTTCCCTTCTCCAGGTGAACGTTCCTAGCTTTCCCAACCCACCAAGGAAATGGGAATATGGGAAAAAGGAATCATGGCGCAGAGACCCCAAAAAACTGGGAAAGGGGAGCTACCAAATTGTGTAAAAGATTGGATATTAATAATTTAATATTTATGTTAAAATAAATAAAAATAATGTAATATTTCTATTTGTGAAATATAATAATAATGAGAAATTAAATATATAAAAATTATATACACCCACACTATTTTATTGTATATAAATATATAATTATTGTTTTGTATTATATTTAATTATATCTTTATGTTTTCTGTATTATATTGAATGACATCTTTATATTTTTATTTTTTTATTTTCTGCTGTATATTAAATATTCTATCTTTGAGATATTTTATATTAATTTGTAAGTATAGTAATAGGTATTATTAATATACAACTATAAAATATAACTATCTAATATATAATACATAATACACATGTACATATATAGTATATAACGTATTTAATTTAATAATAAGGTATTATATACTTTATATAATACATTACAATTTCTTTTAGATCATATATTTGTATATTGTGATTTTGATGTTTTTCCCTTTATTCTATAATTTTATAATTTTATAGTTTTATAATTTTATAGTTTTATTTTAATTTTTAAAATTGAATGTTTATAATTTATTTTAATTGAAGTTAATTTAATTTTATTCTTTCATTATTAATTTAATTTTAATTATTTTATTATTTTATTAATTTAATTTTATTATTTTATTATTAATTTAATTTTATTAATTTAATTTTATTATTTATTATTGTCTTCCATTAAAGTTTTAGAATTCTCTTCTACGTCATTTTATTTTGTTTTCTCCTACTCTATTTTATTTTGCTTTGTTCTTTTCCATTTTATTTTCCCATCTTTTATTCCATTCTATTCCTTCTCCCTGAGCCAATTTGCTTTCATCATATTTTATACTTCGTATTTTATATTTTATTTTATATTTTATTATATTATATTTTAAAATTTTTATTTTATAAGTTATATTCTAATTTTATTTTATTTTATTTTATTTTATTTTATTTTATTTTATTTCATTTTATTTTTAAAATATAATTTAAGGGGTTGGATCCCTGGAATCCCTGGGATGGAGCCCATAGGGGGTTGGATCCCTGGAATCCCCGGGGTGGAGCCCACGGGGGTTGGATCCCTGGAATCCCCGGGATGGAGCCCATGAGGGGTTGGATCTCTGGAACCCCTTTGGTGGAGCCCATGAGGGGTTGGATCCCTGGAATCCCTGGGATGGAGCCCACAGGGGGTTGGATCCCTGGAATCCCCGGGATGGAGCCCATGAGGGGTTGGATCCCTGGAATCCTGTGCCATGACCTTGGAGGGTGCCATATCCCGGGATTCCTTCTCCAGAGATGTGGGGCTGCTGTTCCCATCCCCGCCCTTCCTCAGACGCCTCTGAGCCACAAAAGGAA